AAGGGAAAACTGAAGAAAAGAAGGACTCATAAGATGTTGCATTTGCTTCTCTTCCTGAGAGCAGAGCCTGCGGCCCTGAGCAAGAACTGAGACACCAACCTGTCAGTGCCACAAACTGACCTACAAAACTGAGTGCAAGAAGCCCGGTGGATGTGGAATGGCAGGTGGGATTTCTTCACAGTGACAAGGAAAACACCAAACAATTTAAAAACTAACAGAAATTTGGTAGCTAATTTCCTCTATTTTGATGTGAAATATCCAGTCCCGCACTGTCCCTTGTAAAGACAAAAGAGCATGAACATGAGAGAAGTTGAAACCCACAAGCTGCTCTCAAACCAGAGAACCAGGCCAGATTCAACATTCAAAGCCCATCTTGAACAGTCAATTATGCCAAAAGGCTACACAACAGATCCAATTTTTCTTTAATTAAAGTTATCTAGAGGCCAGTCAGCAGTGTGAATATCAGAATTTGGATGAATGTGTTGATATGAGGCCCTCACAGAGAGGTCTGCCTGCCTTTCTTGTCACAGCAGTCTCCTGATCCCACACTGATGCCATGGGACCTTTTAGTGTCACTTAGAGAATGAAAAGAGACTCACACAGAACTTCAACAGAAATTCCTATGTTCAGGGAGGGGAGTGAAATTAATTTCTCCATCCTGGTCTTGTCAGATTTCAGAAAAAGGCCTGAGGAGGACAACAAAGTGCCCTGTCACAACAAAATACAACAGAAAGTTTACAAAGTTTACTGACAGTCCCTCTTCAGAAAATAATGTGCAGCATGGAAAAAAAACCAAATAAAATCACAGCTGATATATTCTATCGTGAATACTCAGGACTGCATTAACCTTGAGACAACAGCAGTAAATATGAGGAATAAGAAAATAGAAGAGATATTTTAGTTGAAAGGAACCTATAGTGATCATCCACTCCAACTGCCTGGAGTGTCTCCATCCACTTCAGGACTGAGCATGTTGTCCAAATGCCTCTTAAACATGCCTGAGGCCTCAACCACCTTTCTAGCAAGCAGGTTCCAGTATCTGACCACCCTCCTGGTAAAGAAATGCTTCCCAATGTCCAATCTGAACTTCCCTTAGTGCCCCTTTGGGCCATTTCCATGTGTTTTATCAGTGGATCCCAGGGAGAAGGGATCAGCACCTCCCTCTGCACTTCCCCTGTCAGGGAGCTGCAGAGAGCAAGGAGGTTCACTGTCTATCCAGAATCCCTGTCCAGAGCATCTGCCAACAGCATCTCTGAGTTTGGTATCATCAGCAAACTTGCCAATGGTGTGTTCAGCTCCTGTATCCAGATCAGTGATAAATACATGGGATAGAACTGGCCCTGGAACTGAGCCCCAGACAACACTGCTGGTGACCAGGTGTTGTCACCAGCCTAGCCAGACATGGCCCCATTCACTGTAAGACCTTTGAGCTCTACCCTTCAGCCAGCTCTTCACCCAGTACACCATCAACCTGTCAATCCCACAGCTGAACAGCCTGTCCAGATGGATGCTGTGAGGGACAGTATCCATAGCATTACTAAAATGGAGAAAACTATACCCACTGCCTTCCTTTCACCCACTAGGTGGGTGACCTTATCAAAGAAAAGTGTCAAATTAGCTAGACAGGACTTCAACTTTGTGAACTCAGGTTGCCTGTGCCTGATGGCTGCATTATTCCTTAAAACTCCTTTCAACAGTACCCAGGATAATAGTCACAATTTATATTCCTTAATTTATAATATTCACAATTTTTCCAGGAGCCCAGACTCTCACAGTCTGTAGTTGCCTGTGTTCTTCCCTCATGCCCCTTCTGCAGATTGGAATAACACTGGCTACCTTCCTGTCAGCAGGGACCTGTCCAGACTCCCAGATCTTCTGTAGATGATCAAGTGGGGTCCTGCTGTATGTCCTGCTTGCTACTTCAGTACTCTGGGATGCATCCTGTCTGGTCAAGTGGATCTGTGGACATTCAAGCATTGCAACAGGTTTAAGTTTATAAGCTCTCTCCAGTTTTAATAGACATGATAAAGTAGGGTAGTTTTCCCAGCAGAGGAGACAAAAAAAAATATGGTTTTCTGTGAATGTCTGGAATGATGAGCAGGATTAGAATCTTTATATAAAGTCCTAGAAGCCAGGGCTTAATTTTTCACTAGTTTGTCTTGAAAGCCAAACCCATTGCTGCACACATAATTCCATTTAAAGAGAGCTAGAATGGGCACATTTGCTTCTCTCCTCAAAGACCAGACAAGTGTGTGTGAGCACAGAGTGGCTGCTGCTCCAGTCCCCATCCCTACCATCCAGAACCCATGGAACAGCCACTGTGAGAGCTCTCCTCACCTCTGAGGCAGAGCCTTTGAGACCTCCTGCCCCACAGACACCCCTTTGGTCAAGAGTCTCACCAGGGCACACCCAGACCTGCAGCTGGCTGGGCTGGTTTGAGGCTGAGAACTGACTCATCCCTAACCCCTGCACAGGCCAGTGGCTGCCACTTGGTGACTGCACTGCAGCACAGAGAAACTGCCTTGCTGTGAACTGAAATACTCAATTACTTATGAGAAACAGAGAACTGATGCACCACTTAAGATAAGCTCAACCTGAATTAACTCACGAATCCAGGCAGAAAGGGACTGGCGGTACTGGTCAAGAACTGACTGAACATGAGCCAGCAGTGTGCCCTGGTGGCCAAGAAGGCCAGTGGCACCTGGCCTGTGTCAGGAATGGTGTGGCCAGCAGGAGCAGGGAGGTCATCCTTCCCCTGTACTCGGCACTGGTGAGGCCACACCTCGAGTGCTGTGTCCAGTTCTGGCCCCTCAGTTTGGGGAGGACCTTGAGAGGCTTGAACACATCCAGAGGAGGGCAATGAGGCTGGTGGGAGGGCAATGAGGCTGGTGAGGGGCTGGGAACACAAACCCTGTGAAGAACGACTGAGGGAGCTGGGGGTATTTAGCCTGAAGAAAAGGAGACTCAGGGGTGACCTTATCACTCTCTACAACTCCCTGAAAGGTGGTTGTAGTCAGGTGGGGTTGATTCTTTGTCCAGGCAGCAGCTGACAGAATAAAAGGACAGGCTTAAGCTGTGCCAGGGGAAGTTCAGGTTAGACATCAGAAAAAATTATTCACTGAAAGATTGATGGGGCAATGGAATTGTCTGCCCAGGAAGGTGGTGGAGTCACCATCCCTGGACATGTTTAAAAAAGACTGGACATGGCACTTGGTGTCATGGTTTTGTTGATGAGGAGGTGTTAGGTTAGGTCATAGGTTGGGCTTGATGATCTCAAAGGTTTTTTTCCAACCTAGTTCATTCTGTGATTCTTACCCAGGATCAGAACTGTTTTACTTCACCTTGCAGGAAAACAGCAGACTGCAGGTTACAAGAGCAGAGATGTTGTCAGGACAGGCTACAGACACAGCCCAGTTATTTTTCATGGTAAAGCCGCCTTACTTTCCTGGATCAGTGTAAAAGGGCTTAGCAAAACCAAAGTCTGGGCAGTCAAGCTGTGGAAAACTGTTCTAGGACCCTCTTTGTGGGTCCTGTTCTTTGACATGGAGAAATATCTTCCTTTCCTTTCAAAGAAAAAGAAACAAAACAAAACAAAACAAAGAATCCCAGGGAGCCTGCTTTGGCCCATGCCCTCACCAGGAGCACCAAGATGATGCACTGGTGAGCAACACACAAGCAGAGGATGACTGCATGCCGGGGAACCTCAAGTTACTATGTTGTTTGAAGAATCAAACCCAGAATGGTACTTCCAAACACAAAAAAGACAAGTATTTCTGCCCTGTTAGAAGAAAAAGCACACTGCAGAGACATTAAATGAAATTTACCTAATTATTCCCTTTCCTTTAAAAGAATTAGGACCAAAAATTTGTGAAAGTACTGGAGATTCAGCCAGCACACACATTCACTCCATCTCTCGTGCATCTACAAACACATCACCCTTTCTCAAATCCCAATGTCTTCCTGTGTGTTTCACTCTCAGCCCATCCATGTTCCTCCTTCAGCCACAATCACACAGGTTTAGATAAAAGGTGCATTCAAGTGCAGAGTACTGATATTAACTCAGGCTCAATCCTATCAGCAATATCAAGTAAAAACTGTGCCCCCAGGAATCTCCACTCATTTTGTGGGATGTGACAGGCTCAGTCCTCCTCCCATGTGATGCCTGCTACAACAAAGGGCTGTCACTCACAGAAAGCAGAAAGCTGGTGTTAGAGCATGGGCCAAAGAAAAGTAGAGAGGGGAAAAAAAAAGACATTTAGAAGGTGCCAAACAAGGTACAAAACCCACCCTGAGGTAACTTGCAGCAGTCAACAATGAAATGGTAACACACAAGGCTGCTGTCTCTGCTGACTGCACCAGGAGTTGTGAGCTACAATGAAACAGGGACTGAGTTCAGCAGTAACTGAAGCCACTGCTGAAACAGATCCAAACAAGATTCTTAGAAAGTCATGGGTTAAAGAAATCTAAATTTTCTAAAACGGTGTTTTTAATTGCTGACCATGGGAGCACATAGTAATTTTCACCAGGTAAAGTCAGCCTTAAGTTAAATGTAGGTGACAAGCTTGAGACAGACAAAAGCTGCACAACAAATGCCTCTTCCAATTAGCACTGAGTTAACACAGACTTGACTTGTGTTGAAACTCCTGAAGATATTTTACAAAGGAAAAAGAGAAACCCAAACCATTCCTAGCTCCTCTGCAGTTTGAGGTAAACATATCAGTAACAAACTGACACCTGTAGCACTTGTTTCCTATCTCCATATGGATGCTCTCACTCCATGTATTACTGAGGGTGGCCCTTACCTTGGGACAGCCAGACATCAATCCTGATTGTTGGAAAATCAACAACCAGCATTTGCACAGCTCTCAATGCTGCATCCTTACAGTTTCCTAGTAAGTAAGCATTGCTATAGGCACTGGTGCTTTAGAGTCAGTAAGGTGGGTGGAAACACAACGGAATATGGAAAATACCATGGACAAACATTGAGGCAAATAGATGCTATGAATGGTCTCTCCAGGGGTGATGCTAAGATCTGCTTCCTTCTTCTTAAATATATAAACAACAAATCAGACCAGAAGTCAGTCTGCCAGTTTTCATACAGCTGAGCTGCAGTCATGACCTAAAATATGGCTTATATTGTGGGCAGGGCGGTTTGAGGGCTGCTTGGAAGAATCTGAAGCAGATGTGTTTGCAATGGAAAGCAAAGGTGACATCGCTGAGCCATCTGGAGGAAGAGCTGTGGCTATTTCTGGAAACAAAGAAGTCAAGTTAAAATTGGATAAGTGCGATGTGTTGGTCATGTGCATTGGTGGCATATCTGGAAGCAAAGGAAAACTTGGCTGAGCAAAACCAACAGGCCTGGGAGGAGACAAAATGGATCCAAATCGATTGTTTAAACCTCCACTGCTCGGCTTCTCCGTGCTTGGGTTGGGAAACATTTGATTGGGAAAGTAAGGGATGGAAATGTCATTGGAGAGGGTGGGGTGGGCAGGAGAGTAGGGTGGATAGAAGGAGGGCAGTGTGTTCTGAGGATCTACTGGGATTAGAGCAGGTGTCCGAGTGGCACTAGGCTGGGTGACCGGTGGGATGAAAGAAGCGTTAGCGTTTATTGGTGGATTCATGCCACCCTCTGGAATAAAAGGGAATCCAAAATTCTGGGAGAGCGTATGTTGGTCAGGGGCCGCGTTATCGTTGGACACTTGAGGGCCATCAGACATAAATCGGACAATGCTTCCCCTTTTTTCTATGGTGGACTGTTGGCGCCCGAGGATCATGCTGCCACTGGTAGACAGAGGAAGATGAGGAAGACTGGGGTCAAAGACATTTCCATGTCTCTGATTTCCGGATCGATTCCTTTCGGGCTGACGTATTTTAGAGCCCCCATTGTCTTGCAGAGGATGCCGGGAGCGCTGAGTGACCGAAGAATTTGGCTGACGAACAGAAGGCTGCCCTTGCTCGCCATTTCCATGAGAAACTGCAGGGTGAGGGTGAGCTGGCCTCACAACTCCATGCATGTTGCTGGACACGGGTGTATTCATGTGGTTCTTAGTTCCGTGACTGTCCGTCATCCTCATGGGGTTGGACTTCTGCACAGAGATGTTCGGGCTGGTATTGCGGCCCTGAATGTCCCCTGAGGAAGAAGAACTCGAAAAGGGAATAGTCAATGAACTGTTCCTTGTGTTAATTGCCCCAATGGACATGTCACAGCTTTCCCTGCTCTGGCCATCACCATCCCTTCGGATGTGGACGCTCTCCCGTGCTGGGGGACAGTTGTACTCAATTGTGGAGGAGGCACCACACTGCGTGTTCCTTTGATGTTCTGGGATTGATCTTTGGCTTCCACTGACTTGATCTCCAAGGTGAGGGGCGAGCAAACTCTGCATGAAACTTTGGTGGCACGTGTTTTCGTTTTCCCTCGATGGCAGGGTATTCCCCGTTGGAATACCCTGCACTGGCGGGTAGGGCAGTCTCTTCTGCCTCTCTATGGATGGCGCAGCATTCTGACCGATTCGGAATGCTTGTGACTGCATGCCCCGGAGGGAGGACACAGAATTGCCAATTTCACTGTTTCTTGAAGCCTGTACGTCAAAATTGCCCGTTGGTTGTTGAGTGGGTGCAGAGGGCTTAAATGTCTGGCAGTCAGAAAGACGCTGCACATCCGAGCCGACTGTGTGATCGACTGACAAGCGGCCCTGCATATTGTGAATCGCCAACCCTTTACTTCTAGAAACATCAAGATAGCTTCTCATTTCAAGCTGGTCAGAAACCCTAGGGCCTTGAAGAGATATTCCTATTCTCTGCTCGGAATTAGAAGGCGTCTTCCCAATGAGAGCCTCAGCAGAGTAGCTGGAAACTCTGTTTCTTTCCTGCCTGTGAGGGGTGCATGTCATATCTGATGGTCTGGAAACGATACTGGCCTGGGACACCATCTGCTGCTCTAAGCCCCTCGAGGTCATAAGTCTTTGCATCTGATTGTGCCCTGACACGTGTTCTGAAGTGGAACCTTGCTGTCTGCTGCCAACATCCTGTTGCTGTTGATGCATAATATCCTGATTGATATGGCTCTGAGGGTGGTTATGGTGGTTTCTGCTTGTTGCAGGATTTTCACAGTTCTTTTCAGGCTGGGACGCTCCAAAGTGCTGCTGCATCTGCTGCTGCATTTGTTGGTGGTGAGGATGGGGCTGACCACCCTTCTGCCGTGTTTGATCACTTCCGTGGTGTTTTTGCTGTAGAGAAAGCTGTGTGGCTTGTGTTCCCTGGATGAGATTCCGTTTCTTTTGCATCTGCACCTCCTGCTGTATTGTCCGCTGCTGGTGGACGCCGTGGGGCTGAGAGTGGACTGAGTTTTCCCCGTGAGTGACGTGGTGCTGCAGCTGGTACAAGTGGTGCCTCTCTCTTAACTGCCCAGCCTGCTGCTGCTTCAAGTAGGGGTGATTGCTGTGAAGGTGAGAGATGCCTTGGGCAGGGACATGTTGGATGGGCTGCAAGTGCTGCCCTGCCTGGCCTGGCTGCTCCGAGAGCGGTGGCTGAGAACCGCACTGAACTTCAGTTTGTCTCAAAGCCGGCGTTACGAAATTGCTGTTGGGTGGGAATAACCTATTGAGGCCATCAGCGTGCCCTTGATTGCTCACTGGAGCCACTGAGTTGGATGAATTAGGAGGAATCTGACTAACCAGCATCTGTGTTTGATCAGCAATACCCTCTGGGGTCCGGTTCATCAGCGCCATCCCCTCCAGCCTTATGGGTGCTGTCTGGCACTGCTTCTGCCTCTTGGCTGTAGAGAGCAGCAGGTCATCCTGAACAGCCCTCTTGGCAGAGTCTTTGCGACCTTCATGGGTTTGCTGCTTTAAGTGGGATTCCTGCAGCTGGGGAGCCTGCATGCTGCTTGCCCTGATAGCATTCAGCTGTTCCTGAGCATATTCACTCATCAGAGCAGGTCCTGGAGACGGATTGATGTATGTGCTAGATGGAAGGGAGAGGCTCACGGTTGCAGGGATGCTTGCAGGCTCTGAAGACTGGGATAAACCTGAGCAACTCACCAGGGGATGGACAATGCGGCTCTGGTGTATCAGATTATTCACGCTTAGACTGGTTAAGCTGGGTGTCTGGGAAGTGGAAATCTGCAAAGGAGTGTTCGATGTTTCCACACCTCCTACAGAGCAGCTTGGCTTCTCAACCTGCCTATCAACATTTGTCTGTACTGTATCATGAGCACTGAATTTGTTCGGTGCCGCTTCCAACGGCCCTGCATTGTTTTCTTTCACTGACTGAGGTTTAAAAGGCTGTTGCTCTCTCTCCAAAGGTGCAACCTCATTCTTAGAGATGACATCCCTCGTGTTAACCTGTATTCCCCCTCCACCTTTCTCAAGGTTTTCCTGGTCAAAAATAGCTCTCGCTGCAAGAGCTACAATGTCGGTCTGTTCTGAAAATGTGCAGCTGTTACAGGTACTGGTAGAGGTGCTGCTGGTGACATCTTCTCTGGTGGTATCTGGCAACATAGATGCAACTGAGAAGCCCCGACTGCTGCCAGAGCTGGTTGACATGGGCGAGTCTGCCTGCCTGCTAGTAATAAGGGAAGCACTGACTACTTCCTGATCAGAGATGCAGGAGTGAGGCTGGGAGAGAGTGTCACTTTCCGTGTTCATCAGCAAGAGTTCCTGCTTCTCAGGCAAATCAGCATTTGATTCTGCTGATTTAGAGCTTTCCATAGGAAAATTAGAATGCTCCCCCTGAACAGTAAATGAAGAGGTTTTTTCCACAGCTGTTCTTTCTTTTGTGAGATCAGACAGCATTTTGCTTAGACCCTGTCCTTCTAACAAGTCCGCATCTTGCATTACCACTGAGGAATCCTGCGCAACGTGGCAGGACTCCGAAATCATTCCTGCCTTGGAAGTAGGACCTGCTGTGCTGCTCTGTGCTGCTGAAGTCCCATTTGCAACCTGCAAGTGTGTAACCTGTGCTTCTTTACCAGAGGGTGTTAAGGTGCTGGGGGGTGTGCAGGGTTTGGGGGACTCTGATGGGACAGAGGCAGGTGGTGGGTGGCTCTGAGATCCCTGCGTCTGCTGGCGAGGAGCAGCATCTTTGGCCGGTGGGGGAGCGAGCAGCAGCTGCTCTGACACTACAGACTCCAGTGGTGAGGAAGCAGGCACCTCTGCTGAGCTTGGCTCTGGGGCACAGGGGGTTTTCACTGCCTGTTCAGAGCTTGCAGCCTCTGTGGAAGCAGAGTCAGAGATGCTGATGCTGCTCGCTGCAGCCGCGCCGCCCGCCTGCACTGTGGTTACAGCCTGTGACGCCGCTGGGGCGCTTTCTGCCGGCCCTTTGCCACTCGAGGGCTTTGCCGCCGTTTCCACAGGAGCACAGTCCACCTTCCCTGCGTCTTTGCAAGGAGCTGCTGGGCAAGACACTTTATTATTGACTGTTAGGTGTTTCTTTGTGCTTGGCTTTTTGTTTGTCCTTTTTGATTTTGCACTGGATGGCAAGCCAGCAGCTGCTTTTTGTGGGGAAGCGTTTATGGAATTAGATGCACTGGTTAATACTGAAACCTCTGCAGGCACTGAAGATGCCACAGAAGTTGGCAATGACACACAGTTGACTGTGGCAATCTGGTTATTGACAGTTGCAGGATTGGTGGGGTGGCTGAGAGACAAGTGCAAGCAGCTCTGCCCAGCCATTTGCGATATGCTTTGATTGAGGTTAGCTAAAGCACCAAATGTGTTGAGGGCAACATTGGTATTTGGATCTTCGCTGGTGGTGGGCTGAATAATTTGCATAGGGGCTTGGTTTGAAGCTCCAGATGAAGACATCACAGGCTGCAATGCAAAAAGCTGCCCATTTAATGAGATAGTCTGAGGGTGCTGTTGGTTGGACATTGTCACTGAGAATGTCTGCGTAGAGCTAGAAGATGGCAAAGAAGATGGCCTTGGTAGTATATGGACAAGGTGTTTCCCTCCAAAAGTCTGTGGAAGAGAGGCATTTTGCATGGTGCCACTGGAGTTGGCAACTGCAGTTGGCCCATTCACAGGAACTCTTACAGAAGCAGAAGGCTGAGCTGAGAGGAGGGGAAGAGGATTCTGATTTGCAGCTTGTATAATTACAATTTGCTGACTAACATTTTGGCTGGGAACTTCTGCTCTCACAATGGGCGGGCACGGAGCGGGGTTTGGAGGCTGGAGAATGATGACATTCTGGTTAGCTGGTGCTCCTGTCACAGCTGAGGCGACTGGCTGAGCCATCTGAATCACCTGCATAGCTGAGTTTAATGGAAGGATGTTTCCTGGAGCCTGAGCTTTAACCTGTGGCTGGCTGATTAAAGGCTGTATAGGTACAGGGGGGCACGAAGGCAAGGTAACTACAATCTGTTCAGCTGCTTGGCCATCCCCAGGCAGAGAAGCATGCAAACTGATGCTTGTAGTCAAAGGCCTGCTGTGGGCAGAAGCCACAGTGCCAGCAGCATTGACTGGCTCGTTGAGGAGGGCAGTCATGATCCCGGATGGCGTCTGGCTCAGCGGCTGAACCGTGTTTCCTGCCAGCTGCAAGGTCGTCCACGTGGTCTGTGTGTTCCCAGCTGAAGGCATCCGGGTAAGGCTACTCATGTTTTTCAAGTCTGAAGTGCCAACACCTGAAGAGCCTGAGAAAGACCAGCAGTTCTCCAGGGGACTGGCAGCCAGAGTGCTTATTGCTGTCACAGCCTTAACTCCTTCTGCCGCAGATGTCACCGGCGTGCCAGCACTGCTGACCACATCCGTACTTTTGGGGACATTTGCAGAAGAGCAGCTCTCTGCAGGTCTCACAGGTGGCACACGAGCTGTGTCTGTGGTTGAAGCCGTGCAGCTCTCCTGGAGGTCGCTCCTGGAATTGTGTGTGTTTGAGCAAGCTGCATTCACCTGCTGACCTTGGGAGCCTTCCACGGAGGCACTGGAAGGAAGGCTGGTTCCCTGCGGGAGCGTTTTCTTTGTTGATTTAGTGCCCTCCTCATCACTTTTACTTTTGGGGGGATTTTGCTCATTCTGTGGCACGTTATTTGAAGAACACTGTAGTTCCTGCTCTGCTGCAGGCCTAGGTGTGCCCTGTGAGCCGGCAGGAGCAGCGCTGGGCACACCTCGCTTGTTCTCCGGGGTGGAGAGCTCAAGAACATTCCCTGCTGGAGCTGTCTGGGCAGACGCCAGTGGAGCAACTGTAGGCTGTGACCATGGTTTATTTTCTGTGGGATAAATACCAGCAATTGTCACAGGAGTCACTAGGTTGCAAGTTCTCTGAACTGGCACAACGTTTGCTGTTTGCTTTTGTAAATTATGACCGACATTAAACGTTATTCCCTGCACAGATGCTCCCTGGTTATTTCCATTGGGCTGAGTCCCATTTGAATAAACAATGATGTTCTTTTGAACCTGATCACTGGGAATAACAACTGAGACCTTGGCATTTTTGAGGTTTCCTTTCCAGTGGATTGTAGGGTCATCATATAAGCAAATATCATTTGCTTTCAGTAGCTCGATGTATCTCCCGTTTTCCTTTTGCAGTTCATCCAACTGTTTCCGGAGTTTTTTTATCTCTTCAGCTACAAAACAGTGAGAGCACTCCATTACATCAGCACCAGAGCAAATAATGAAATAATGTTACCACATGATTTAGAGAGTAAACACTGTGTGGTATTGAAATAATTTGTAGAAATAAATTGAATAAATTGTTAATAATGTATGCTCTTTGCAAATGGTTAGCACAACCTAAGTGCTCTTATCCTGCTAAGTCTCTCTGCTGAATGGGAAAGTGAATGAATTTCACAGACTATTCCATTACCAATAACAGGATATATTCAATTACTTAGGAAAAAACATTAGGACTAACCCAGATGAAACTAAATGCTAATCAAAATCGTTTAATTCCTGAAGGAAAGACAAGCACATTAATATTTTTCTTTTCTCTGTTCTTTTGCAAACACCAAAACTCTTTTAATTGATAAGCTTACAGCTTTCCAGAAGAATTAAGTTTCATTACATCTAAAAATTACAGACAAAATTAAATACAAAGCACTCATATAAAGCCACAAAAGCTGGCAATGCACTTGGGAGATGGCTCACCAAACTGGGAAAATCACAATAAAGCAGAAATAAAAATCACAAACCACAACATTAGTCCTGAGATTATTTCTGTCACACCTCCATCACTGTACTTTTACACATCTATTCAAGGAAATTTTATATGATGCATTATATTTTTATAAAATGAGCTGTTGTAACTCTTACAGACTTTCAAATAAAAAAAAAAAAGCTTCATGAATGAAGAAAACTTCATCTTTTCAATGAACAAAAATCTAACTGAAGTTTGTCAGAAATCATTCTGGTCACTACAGTAGAATAAACTGCGGCAGAATTTACCAGATGATGGCACACCACCTATAAGCTCTGTAATTACATCACAATGGAATTGCTTCATTATCTGATAGCTATGAGCCAGAACACTCACTTGGGCATTCTGTCAGCTTTTTGTTTCAAGATATTCTAAGCAGCTGTATTTTTCCTGTATGTGCATAATTTCTTGGGATTCCCATGTGCGGTTCCAGGCTTTGCTGTCAGTCAGCACAGAGACACAGCAGAAGTGAGGGACAGAAATTCTGGAGCCCCCAGCAGCACCTGTACTTACCCTGCTCATTGTTCCCTCCATTTAACAGAAGTTCATCATTCTGTCTTTTCATTTCTGTTATGTACTTAAAGGCCTGATCCAGGATCATGTTCTTGCTCTGTAAAAGAAAACACACATATAAAATGAGGAGATGAGTGATGAGACTGCACTTACTCCAAGAGGTTTTTACTTTAAAAATATGCTCTGAATATCACTGGGTAGAGTTTTTTTCCTTCTGGTTTGGGTTGGGTTTTTGGAGGTTGTTTTTTGGTTTGGTTGCTTTTGTAAGATGAAACTACAGGCTTTTGTGAGTGATGCTGACCCTAAAATGCCTTGAGATTTTACAGAACAACATTTCCAGTGGTGGAGCTGACACCTTCTGATGCCCAGAGGTAGATACTAAGGCCACAGATCCTGAACAGGCAGCATCCTTTCTCACTGATCAGCTAAAATTAATGTTCACTAATAAACACACACATCACATGAGATTTCCAGGATACTGCCTTGTAAATATTTTATTAGAAAAGCAAGAAACATGGAACAACTATCCAGGGAGATATTTGCATAATTTTGAAAATAGTATACAAGGGAATATGGGAAGGGAAAATGACCCATCCACAATCATCTTTTTATGAAGCTATGCTTATTCTGTCTGCAAAACCTTTGTTCACTTCTTAACTTCTTCTACTGTTCAGTAAGAACAATCTCTGCTAGGGATTCCTCTATCTTGAAAAAGATGCTTCTGTGCATCAACCTAGAAGCATTTGTCTTGCTTCATCTTTTGCAAGGAGAGTGTCTTAAATCACCATTATTATAATTTCAGTTTCTGAATTCCTTTCAAGCCATTATATGAAGGATGACAAAAATAAGCAGTCATATGCAACACTTTCAGATAAAATGCTCAAAATCTGCGTAACTACATTCATGTGACCCTGCACTTCCAATTAGGACTTCTATTACAAGCAGTTTTTTAATTACTAATAACTAGCAATATTTTTGAGTATATTCATTCAGACAGTTTGCCTTCTTGTTAATACAAATACTAAAATAGGTATTTAGACTTCTACAGACAGAGAAACATTTGGACATTTGACAGGAAACTTGTATGCACCTCTGGATGGACACTCACCTGTTTAAGTGCTGGGGAGCAGGGAATGAGCTCTCCAATTCTGTTTATCCCAGCATTAATCTTCTTTTTTCGATGTCTCTCCACTAAGCAAAAACAATATGTACTGTGTCATCTGGCTGGGCAAGGCAGCACAACTAGGATAATGTAAGGGCTCAGAAATACATTATTCCATTATACATTGGAACCTGTGTAACATTTTTCCTTGAGTGAGGAAAAATCTTCTTCTAAATTAAACCTCAAAGTTATCAAATTAATACTTACTGGAATCAAAGAGCCATAAATTAAATAGCCTTTAAAAGGTGGGGATATTTTGGACCCCTTCATGAAAAAGTAAAGTTCCTACAACTCAAAATTCAGGTTTTGAAACTGCCTTCTAACACAGTTTTAATGACACTCTCTTCATAAGGCAGATTAAATTTGAAATTGATTAAATTTACGCATACAGAAAGCAAATGAACAAAGATTATGGAAAAAATCAGTTTCAGATTTGGGAAGCAAACCAGTGCCTCTTAAATTCTAATGTCAAATTTAGCACCAAAAGAGAAATTTTAAATTTATATTTACAGAGTAGCCAGCCAAAACTGAACATAGCTGAAGCTCCAGGTACAAGGACTATCAGATACTCTTTTCTATGTCCAAAAGTTTAACTGTTCCATAAGGTCTAACTGGCTGGGAGAAAGAAAATACTGAATGGAGAGTAGTTCCAGTGAACTACCTATTTTGGAGCAGGTCAGAAAATGTCAGAAAATGCTTCATTTATAATCTTCTAGTGATACCATTTACCTCTTCAACAGGTCTGAATATTGGCAGAAAGGGTCTACACTCTAAGTCTAGGAGTGGTTTTTACAGACAGTATCTCTGTTTTCCATCCACCACAGTCAGCCTCCTTCAAATACAGTTAACTCTCATGTAGTACTGAAATATTTTCATGTTCTATGCAAACTTAAAACTATTAGACGTCTTTAAAAAAAAAAAAAAGGAAAAAGTTCTCCCATGGCTTTGTCAGGACTCAAACCATTGTGTTGTTCATGATGCCGGATGAACCTTTTGGTTTGTGCAGTTGCTCCGCTTTTGGTGGCACACAGAAACAAATTGTGACCTGCAAGTGAGGGTATTTCATTTTGCTCAGTTACAAAAGACTCATTAATTTAATTTAAATAGTCTTATTTCAGTAGCCTGTCACTTCAATTTACCTTTCTCAATTTTTTTTTGTATTTCAGGAGAGACTGCTGTCATTGACAGAAACAGGCCTAAATACACTAAACACAGCAAGACAAAGTTTCTTATGCAAGAAATTTACCATATAAATTAGAGGACCTCTGTAAAAATTAAAACACAGGGCACTTGGGATTTAATCTTTATCTAGCTTACTAATACATACAGATATCACAGTGTTTGCGAAGTGCTACTTTTTTGTTTTGGTAATATTTGCAACACTCTCCTCAGCTTTTCCATATATTAATGACTAAGAAAGTATAGGTTTGGAAGGAGCTGGTCCCCATATACTGCAGAGTTCAGCCCAGGTGATAAAGATTTTGGAAAGCTATCAACAAGTGAAACAGGAACTGGGAATTCCAATGAGGCCAACCATTTTAGAAGTAAACCTGATAAGACTGTTTCCTGATTCTTCTTAATTCTTAAGAAACTGGCCACACCCTGAGCACACTCAGCACAGGTTTCACATGGAAACTGCTCAGTGCTTTTTCCAGCTGAGTTTGTGAAGATCACATGATAGTGCTGTTCAGAAAAAAACCCTGCAATCAATTTCTTTGGATAAACCAGCCCAAAGCCTGCCAGACTCCTCCCCAGTCCATCTTTCTGTTCCTACTTGTAGAAGATGCCATTGGCACTAGAACTGGTTGGGTGCTGGCCAAGGGATGCGACTCCTGCAACATCCAACCAACATTTGCACAGAATTTCTGGGGTGTCAACATCCAAGTCGGTGCCTTAGGAGTAGGTTAGAGGAATGCTTCCAATCCAGGGAGCCTAAAGCTCTCAGGTAGGACACCTGTGTCTGTTTTGACAGAGGTGGATATTGGTTGCATGTGAATGCCTGTGCAGTTGTTTTCCTTTGGAATTGAACACAGTTGAAATTGTTTACTTCTTAATTTAACAGCCTTGGAAAGGCAGGTGCTCCTTCATACTTTAACTTTGTGCTGTGGAAACCAGCAAACTAGAAATAATCTGCAAAGTTATTTTATGCAAGGACACAGAAAGGTGTTTGGTAGGGTGAGGCTTTTTCAGTGTACTAAACTCCTGTGTGGGAACCTTCTCCATGCAAAGTATGTTTTACTACTCCAAAGTGCCTGTGCTTATTTCCAGACCAAACAGCAAAGCATGATGTTCCCACCTGCATTATGTGTCTCCCGGTTTTTCTTTCTGTGAAACATAAAGGGAAAAGATTCATGTGAAACTCAAGGTTAAAGATCTGCATACAAACAAATATTTCTTATATTATTTCTATTACAGCTAAAATTACTAATTATCACAGTCTTCTCTGCGAACTAGAGCAGCAGAAGTCACAATCAGATGTTCTTAGACATTGGTATTAAACAGTTTCTAATAAAAATTTGTTCATGTTCAGTCTTAAATCAATTGCACTACAACAAGTCACACTGCAATATTCCACTTGATTACTGGTACATATTTATAGTGGAGAGCTGGGTTTTTACGTTCCTGTTACACTATGCAGTGTTCGAAAAAGCCAAAGATTTTTTTTAAATAGTTTTGTTTGTGAGGAACAAGACAGTAAAGTATTTGTCTGAAATGTTGCTTTTACATTTACTGGATCACTGAAATAGGAGAAAATTTTACCATGTAAGTTGATTTTCCAGCCACATTGCCTTCAAACATCATAACTTCTGGTATCAAAGAGGCTTCCTTTGTAAGAGAAACCAAAAATACTGTTCCTCTGCAGCTACTGTTCTTTAAGGTCTCAAAATTCTGAATAGGTTTGATTTCAGCATGTGAGGGTTGTGTTTGGTTTCATACGTTCACCTGGACTATTGGACTGATGACAACAATCAATGTGCAATGCCCCAAATTGCTTTACTGGCAGTCAATAAATTTCAAATATATATATTTAAAATCTTCAAAGTCTACATATATAAATAAGATGTACTATACACATGCACTAAGACAAATACTTCCAGGATGTACAGTAAAGAAAAGTACATGTTTTTTGGAAAAAGCAAAATTCCAGAAAAAAAAAATTTCAGAAAGCTTCTGTCCAGCAGCACATTCTCAGTTTAGATGTTTCCTAGGGCATGCAAAAAGCAGAGTAGCATCTTCTGCTGTCCTTTTTGACTGTTACAGAACAGTCCAGATGTGACAAAGAATCTGAGGTAAGAATGCATGATACATGTGGCAGTTATGTGCGATTACCATGAGGCACAATACATCTATCCTTTGTGCTTTGAGTTGATTCTGATTTCTGGTAGCTCACTAAAGACAGCGTGCACCTACAGTAACTTAGACAAGGACTATGAGACTGTAATGTTACTGCTACAGGTCAGACCCAGAGACATCTGCTAAGAAATAATGCTTAAAGATGATCATTAATACTAAATATGCACAAGAACATAAGGACTGGACAGACCAGCTGTCCTTTGGTTGACATTACCATTACAGAACACAAAATACTCTGTTTGTCAGGTAAGAAAGAGTCGCGAAATCTGCAAAGACTGAAAAACCTTCTGTAGGACAAATCAGTGTTCTCTCTGAGCTTTTCCTGATCATAAATCATATCCTACATGCTTAACTAGTGTAAGATGAATGCTGCATTTAACTAAGGACTGAAGAACCCCCTTACCAATCAGGTATTAGATGACCCATGTTAAAACAAAGGAGCAAAACCCTGGAAAAGTTCTAATGAGTGCTGAGTGACTTTGTTACAAAGTTTGGTCATAGTGTTGCTGTACGACCGCAAGGCATAGTTTGTGCTCCTGCAGAGATTTAAGATGTAAGATCCAGATTCCACTGGGAGTTAAAGGAGAGATCTAAATGACCGTGTCAAAATTAGTAGTTACCTCCTGATATCTAAAGGAGCCTCCACAAAAATACAGACTGTGCTCTGAGGCAGCAACACAGTTTTACACACGTCAGAATAGTCAGTGAAATAATTAAAGAATCTCTTTTGCCTAAGTGACCCAGGTAGATGTATCTTTAACAAATAGTTTGGCATAGACAGGGCAAGAGAGAAACTTTTGGATCAACCCTGATGAGCACACAGAACTTCCTATCCATACCCTTATTGCCAAACTTTTAGCTAGAAACTTTGTAACTGCAACATGACTGCAAACTACAGGCCTAGGAAATATTCCCTTTCCCACAGGAACTCACCGATGCTGCTTCTTAGTAGGTGTCTCATTCTCTGTCATCTCTGGCATGGTTTCAGAGAAGAGAGCCTGAGGAAACATCATGGAAGGAATTAACAACTCCTGCACTTTCCTGAATCCTCAGCCCATGACATTTACATGGCTTTGCAAGGACCACAAGGACAGGGCCCTGTTACAGTGTAGGCACAAGTGCATGCCCTTGACTCAGAGCAGCTGATTTTATGACATTAAAAATTAAGCACGTTCCCTATCGAGATGTTTTGAAAAAGCTGTCTGTGATGAACTGGTTTCCATTTCCTCAATTACTTTAAATATAAAAACTATTATAATCCCAACCACTTTCAGCAAACAAGAAGGATAGTTAAGAATATGACTGCTTTTCAAATGGGAGGAGGAATAGCTGAACTCTCTCTTATCAGCCCTTCCTCACTGAATATGAATTCAATTCCCAGTTCAAAATAGGGTATGAATGCTAAGCAAAAAACAAGCTACAATGAGGACATTTCATTAACTACAAATTTAGAGTGCTCTTAACGTAGCAGATTACAAAACTTACTTGCTATTAAATTACTGTACACCTTAAAACAACCAAAAATGACACCTCTAGGCTCTCAGATATGTATAGTTCAGCTAAAATTAAAACTATGTATACCAGCCTAATGAATTGCATCTAACTTGTCCTCATCTTGAACAGACTGGTAGCCTGTATTTAGACAAACAAAAACATTTTAAAAATACACAAAATATGAGATTAAGTTAATGATGGTTGAACAGATATCTACCACAGAAATAAATTTTAGAGAGCAAGTAACGTAAGTATACTGTAGATGACAACAGGAAAAAAGAGATCTTGTTTTTGATGTGTCTGAGCTCTGTATTCACTTTCACAGCTCCTTTCAGTCTCTCACCAACCAACCTGTTATTGCAACTCTTCCCGTGGGCCCTCAAACTCCTTGTGGCTTCCCCTTTCTCTGGCTCCTCCTGAAAAGCTCACTGGCTTCTTTTAACAGCCTTCATATCTCTGGGGTATTTTTTGTCTGTTTGTTTGAACTGCAAGGAAGTGGAGGTGGTTTTTAATATAACTTTAAACACCAAGCAGTTCTTAATGTAAACTGAGCCTACCACTACTGGCACTGACATCAAAAACAAACCCCCAAAATAATATCCTCGCAAACCAGAAGGCCAGACACCTATGGAGCTCCCATAGCACTGAAGCATACACTTCACAAACTGCTCTGTGCACACACCTGTGTGTGTCAAACTAACAGAAATCATCTGTATTGTACCAGAACTGAATTCAGATACTGCTTTCCAGCCTTTATACTCTAGAAGTTAATTGAATGTTGTGCATTCAGTAAAAATTAGAGGAGGATAAACATTAGGGCTGATGCTGGTTACCACTCTAATCTTGAAGTACTTTCTTTCTGTGTTCCAGGGAAGACCTGGGAGATGTTGGCAAACCATAAAATAAAGCAAACAGGAAACAACCTATGAATAGATCCAACTCAAGGAACTCAAAGTGCCTGAAGATTTCAGGAACATAATTCAACTCCAGCTACACGACAGTGTTCACACTATCACAAAACTGGACACAATCCTCTCTGAGATGAGTTACAGCATTCCATTGCCCCACTGGGTGTTACACACAGCCTAAACACAAACCTCTCCAGCCCAGCAATGGGAATACATCACTTTCTGTTTATATCCCTCCATGGACTTTGCTTCCTCTGTGCTCACCTGACCACCCCCTGCATAAATTATGAAAACACCTGACAGAGTTAACAGTCTTTTATTGTGGGAGAAAGCAGTGGTGCAACTTCAGCACACTCTTAAAAATTGTGTTACCTCATCTTAAAAACAAGATTTCTTCTCCTTTAAACCAAATTAGCTTACTTTACTAACAAATTTATTTGAGTTTATATGTAGTAAGAGTAATCCAGTTGTTACGCCATGTTGTCCAAGTCAGTAAACACAACTCTGAAAGCCAGGAGAGGCAGTTTCCCACCAAGGCATCTCTAACTTATCCCTCCTGGGTACAGCTGGTGATGGTCAGTAGTACTCACTGATTCTACCTGCATTCACTGATGAGGAAAGGGTTAACTGGGAGACCTTAGCAGGTGAGTGATTTTGATTATAATAAAAAACCAAAACCTGGTCAGAGCCCAGCCATCTTGGATGCTGTTGGCAACCAGAGAGATGTTCAGGTGTACAGGGAGTGACTGGGGCCAGCACACCTCCTTTCCCAGCTCCAGTGTGCCAAAGCAGCCCAGCAGAACCTGTATCCATCAAGGCAGCCCAGCAGAACCTGTTTCCATCAAGGCACCCCAGCAGAAGCTGAATCCATCAAGGCAGCCCAGCAGGGACAGGAGAAGCAGAGCAGCTGCCTGGTGACACTGCTCTCATGTATCCATCACCGAGGCAGCACCTTGTGCAGCAGGTGAAATAACTACTCAAGGAGCAAAGGGGTAATTTAATTTACTGTGTCCAGTACTGTTTCTGTTTAGTGAGGATGTGAGCACATGGACACAGCTCTGGTAAAGCAAAGCTCTCAAACAAGCTGAGGAAAAGGAAGATGCTGGATTGTATCATGTGGCAGTCACATACACTGTTTCTTGATTTCTGCACCACCTATAAAGCCAGAGCTGATGTATCTGTTGTTGGGCATTATGAGACCATAGCAAATATGCTGGAAATCACAGCAAACGGATAAAAGAGGCCTTAGTTTTGGTGGACTTAGCATTTTTGAAAGACTAATGTATTCAGCAAGCAATGGTATTTTTTTTTTAATTCTGTAGATTTATACAGCTTGAGAACTGTATTGCAGTGTATTTAACACAGAAAGCATTAATGTGGATTTAGATGGCCAGCTACCACACAGGGCTACAGATGAAGCACAACTGTGTGAAGGTAAGGGCATAAAGAAGCACCCAGCCACAAATACCCTTCCCCAGAACAGACATGGCTGTTGTGACTCCAGCTGCACAGTCTGGAACACGTCCACAACCCCATCCTCTCCCTGCCCTAAGTCACAGCACCCTTTCTCCCTCCTGACATGAGTTCTCCTTACTCCTATATTCTGGCTTCTTCTGTGTCCTCTCAGCAAAGTTCTTCTTAACAGCAGCCATCCCTATCTCCCAAAGTCATGATACACACAATATTCCAATTGCCTTATTTCTTCATGCTGAGCAGGTGCCAAAATGATTCAGCAACTCATTGTATGTAGCATTCTGGAAGATAGACAAGGCCTTAGTGAAAATTTGTGCTGTTATTTATTAATACAGTTTCTAACCATTTTTTGATCCTAAAAAAGAATAGAAAATCTTTATTATATGTCAAAGACCTTACTTCTTTCTTCTTCCTCTGCCCTTTTTTTAAATGGTATCAGTAAACTTCTTCCAAGTGATGCTGCTCCCTGCATATTTCAAGCCATTTGCTGCCACACTGGGTGTATAAGCCTCACAAATGTAAACTTAAACTCTCTGTTTGATGTGCTTCAGTTCCACTGGGATCTCAGCCCATTTCATATAGAAAACACGGCACAGGAATGCCATGACTGTTACCCTAATTTCACTTTACTGTGGATTTACTTCAGGTGAAGTTTTTCAGTTCACCACTCAACCAATGCTCTCACTTTTGTGGTCCTGATAGCAAAAGCAAGGCTGTGCACATTATCTAATGAACAAATTAGTTTATTGTGAGTTCCACTGAAAAGAGGTGGTTCAATTTGTTAAAAAACACTTGTATAAAACTCTGGGCTTTCTACTGATAGATTGTACCTAAGAGAAATGATTGTACCTATGAGAAATATCTGAACTGAAGCTGGTTTTTCCCATCTTATTCTGTAAGGACAGAAACCTTTGCATTTTATTTGATATTCCACAGAACAGCTGAAGCTGGCAATACCAGGGAGGAGGTTTTCTTAAGGGCTGCTGAAAATATGGGCTTTGTGAATTAAAAAGAAATTTAAAATAGTGCCTAGGTAGAGATTTCTGAGGGCTGATGAATGTTTACATGGTCTCTATTTCTCCCCCTCAGCTGTTGTATGACCAGAGCTTTGACAGAGGGTTTCCCTTTAATTCTTCCACATCAAGTATTGCTTCTTCATCAAGATCCCTTCATGGATTCTCTGAAGCAGAAGACATGCACTTGCCTCAAAAGCTCAGAGACAAATATATTTTAAGTTCACTCATGAAATATGCTCACTTAACTCAGCTGAATGCCATCTGCAGAGAAAATATAGCAAAATCCAAATTCTGAAAACAGATGAAGAAGCAGTAACTCATCATTTATATTTATTTAGTACCAAGCTTCCCTTAAGCTTTATGTAGTTAACAGCTTTCACAACATCAACCTAAAATATTGATTTTAATTTAAATGCAATGTCATCTTCTGAAATTAAAGGATGCTTTGTGTTCTGAAGATTTAAATTTAACATAATTTAATCTCTTCTATAGTTCTGAAACATAGGGTATAAAACCTGAAAACCAATTTATTTAAGCATCTTCTTGTATACCACCCATCTTTCCAGGTAGTATTTAGCAAATTTTATGAAATCTCTTCTTCAAAACATGCATTCAGCATATACAAGAAAAAGTTATAAGATTTTTTTGGCATTATTTTTTCACTCCTTATTTAGGAATTGTTTCCAAACTTAACATTAATTTTTAAAAAGAAAATAATTATTCCAATCTGTTATCTTTGGCTGTACAAAACAACCTCCCTCAAATTAGTATAGCCATTCCACTCTTCTGCATCAGGCAGAAAAGAATCATGTTTATATGCAACTACACATATTCTGCAAACCTACCAGCAGTCCAAATCTTTCTTCCTCTGAATCTCCTTCAGCAAGCTCGTGCTGTGACACTGCTTCAGTCTCAGTTCTTACAGGTTTTGTACACCTCCCGTAGTTAGTAATGCAATGTAATGTAATGTAATGTACACCTCTTAGTGTAAAGCTAAGGTCAGTTGCAAGGCACAGACAGGAACCACTCAAATGCTTTTTTCCTGACACAGTGTGTTCTCCATCCAAGCAACTGCTGGAGCTCACTTCTCCAGTCTTCCATGCATGT